AGTGAAAAAAGTCAAGGGACTGTTAACAGAAGCACCGACGCTGGCATACTTTGACCCAGAACTGCCAACGACAGTGAGTGCTGATGCCAGTAGCTATGGCCTGGGAGCTGTGCTGCTGCAAAAACACGAAGAGGGTGATCGTCCAATCGCTTTCTCATCCAGAACACTGTCAAAGCCAGAAAAGCAATATGCACAAATAGAAAAGGAGTGCTTAGCATCCACATGGGCGAGCGAGAAATTTTGAAAAATATCTCATCAGACTGCCAGCAGTAGAGATTGTAACAGATCACAAACCCCTAGTACCTTTGATCAATACAAAGGATTTATCAGACACACCTCTTCGGTGCCAGAGACTGTTACTTAGATTGCTAAGATTTAACGCAACTGCCAGATACGTTGAGGGCAAGAAGATGCTAGTGGCTGACGCTCTCAGCAGAGCACCACTAGCAGACGAAGACAGAGGATCACGTCGAGACGTGCACACACACGTAAGAGAGTTAGAAACGTCGTGGCCAGTCAGAGACACAACACTTGAAAAGCTCAAACAGGCAACGAAAGAAGACGTCGAACTGAACTGTGCCATGAGCTACACACTGAATGGATGGCCTGCATACAAAAGAAAACGTTCAACTAGCTGCCAGAAACTTATACGATATCAGAAGCGAGCTGAGCGTGCAAGACGGGCTACTTTTGATAGGGAAAAGAATAGTCGTCCCATTAGAGATGAGAAAATAGGTTCTTGAGAAGATTCACCACGGTCATATGGGAATAGCTAAATGCCGAGAGAGAGCAGCGCAGTCAGTGTGGTACCCACAGATTGGGAAAGACATAAAGGAAAGAGTGGCAAATTGTCGACAGTGCTTGGAAGAGAGAGCATCCCATCCCAAAGAGCCTCTGCTTCCAACGCCACTTCCCAGCAGGCAATACGAAAAGGTAGCACTTGACCTGTTTGAACTGAAAGGTCGGTCGTTCGTTGTGGTCACCGACTACTATTCACGTTATCCAGAAATTGGGTACTTGCCCAACCAGAAAGCCTCAACGTTAGTCACAAAACTGAAAATCATCTTTGCGAGACAAGGCATCCCAGAGACAGTAGTCAGTGACAATCAGACCAATCTTACGTCACACGAATTTCAACGATTTGCCCAAGACTGGGGTTTCCAGCATATTACCAGTTCCCCACACTTTCCATCTGGGAACGGAGCGGCAGAGTGCAGAGTCAAACTGTCCAAGCGCATGTTAAGGCAAGAAGACTACGCTCTGGCATTGTTAACATACAGAGCTACGCCAATACCAGGACTGGGGGGCTAGCCCAGCAGAGCTAGCGATGGGGAGAAAAATGAAGACGACACTCCCAACACTTTCCACAGTCTTACAGCCTCGCGCAGTCAACACGCATCTGCTGCGTGAAAAGGAAAGAGTCTACAAGCAGAAACAAAAGTCCTACCATGACAGACACTTCGGAGCTCGGGCCTTGTCTGAGCTTAGACCAGGTGATCCGGTTTTCATCAAACTGGACGGACAACAGGGTTGGAAGCAGCCAGCCAAGGTTGTAAAGCAGTGTGCACCTAGGTCTTACCTAGTAAAGACGGCAGTAGGCGGCGTGCTGAGGCGGAATCGGCGCCATCTTCTGCGCCGACCAGAGGGAGGCGACAGTCTGAGGTCGCCGTACATCCAGTTTCCAGCGACGGAGTCCCCGGAGGTCTACCAGTCTCCGATTTCAACGCATGCTGATTCAGTCCTACCTCCAAATCCTGGGAGTAACAGTGGAGGCCCTCCAGAGCAGCCTCCACCATCTCCATCATCGCACTTGTCCATGGAGCCAGTGATGTCACAAATGCAGAATCTCAGCAGGCAACATCTACAACTGCAGTGGCAGCACCGCAAGTCAGCAGAAGCGGCAGAGCCATCGTTAAGCCAGCACGTTACCGTGACGAATGATATGACACTCATGGACTGTTTCTCAAAGCCAATGTGTAGCTAGATTGTGCTTTGAGCTAGTATTGTGTTGATGTGTTCGTTTGTTTTTCTTTTTCACTCTAATCAAAATAGAGAACAGTTGACTGTTCGTTAGGAATTTGTGTTTCCAAATGGCCTTTGTCAGGTGAGAAGCACCCTGAATGTGTAGGCTGATCTCACCTGATTTAAGTTGCTGTGTAGACTAGCAACAGTTATAGGTTTATTTTACTTTATTTTTTGTTCTGGTGGATTACAAGTTACTTTTACAGGAAGGACCTTATTTTCCAACACTTCAGTTGCCTAAAAGACTGCTTCAGCCAGGGTGGATTTAAAGTATAAACCGTCACAAGAAGTAAAAACTACATTTTAGCCCACATGTGAATAAGACATTGTTCCCTTGCAAATTTTAATTTAACGTCATTTTGGAAACTAAAAGGGGGAGATGTAATGATATGGGACATAATCCATAATCCACCCCAGTTGCTTGTCCATTATATTATCAGTTGTTTCCCTTTCAGTGTAAACACTCCATGAGCAGTTCTCACATTGTCTTGAGATTCAGGGCTTCTGGGAACAAAGGGTCTGGGGTCTATATAAAGCTGTGTCTGTGTCTCTAAGGTTTTTTTTCTTTGGGCCATTTGACTGGTGAAGTAAACCTTGCTACACATGCAGAAGACCCTAGTTCGATTTCCTTGAGGAGATAATTCTTATCGAGTATCTCGGTCGTTCTTGCTCGGGTGGTGTATGCCTCTCAGCCCGGGCTTTTCCAGACGGGCAGGGCCAAAACTCGCCTCCTGAATAATTAAAATTGTGTCGATGGTGGTAAACCACATTGCAATTTTACTGCTTCCGAGCCAGTTTCTTTCATGTCTGATAAACTGCTTATTACGTTGTTGGATGTCCTTATCTATATCTTAAATCTCCGTCATAATGTTGACTGCTAATGCAACGCCAGTGTACCGCCTCAAATGATGAACAAAATCAAGTAAGGGTGTGGTGTGAATAAAACACCAGTGAACGTCAGATCTACTAGATGTAGTTCATTAGCCACAGAGGGGACGGGTTTTTTCTGAGTGATCTCAGTAATGACGTATTCATGACCTAAATGAAGGCATCTGGTTTGGTCAAGCCTGGAGGGAGAATGGTCTTACCAGTCTTTCTCTTTGTGGTCAAGGTGGAAAAGAGGGGAGGGGGGGGGGAGTCTGGTTCCCAAACTTTTTCTGGAGTGGAGCGTCATAGTAGATGATTGCGAGAAAATTGGTAAATGAAAAAGTATAGCTATGGGTGTTTGTTTGATACAATGGTGGTTTAGAATCGAGGCAAGGTAATACAACCTAAGGTTTATACTTAACCATTAGAGTCAACTTTTTGTAGGAAAATGAGTTGTGAACTGTGTAACATTTTTTAACCGAAATTCTAGTCCGTAGAGATTTGTGGTTCCAAAACAAAATGTTATCGTATGTATATCAAAACCCTCAAACCGTTGTAATAACTAGACTCTCTCATCAGACTTGGTGCTCATATGCTTCTTGCTATTGTGCTTCTCCAGATGGTTCAGAAGTCCGCCCACAGTTAATGCCTACTATAACAAAGCTGGCAACGAAATAGGTAAGTTAAAATAGAATCAGTTAAACCTACTCTAACGTCCACATCTCCAAGACAATCAGCTGTTAATATGAGTTCCCACTTTACCCCTTCTGTATTATAGTGACACTGTACAATAAGGCCAATTATCTAAGATGATCAGTTGTTCCTCACCAAAGGGTGGTCATCTTGGACAGGTTCGATTGTTTGTACATTTAAAAAAGCAGGAAGGTGGAGAGAAGAAGGGAGAGAAATGGACAACTATAAAGAGCAGGAATGCCACTTTTGGCGATGTTGGATGTACTGATTAAGCGACCCTTTTAATACTGTTCAGTCATATACAAGGTGATCCAAAAAAAACCTCTACAACTGTTTCTTTCACATTTATACTCAACATTGGGGGGGGGGGGTGTCAAAATTTCCTACCAACTGAAAATGTTTTGGCCTAATGCGTCCCGAGCGATCAAGTGACCTTATGCAGTTGTGAGCGACATAGAGCACTTGCCAAAAACTCCCCCCATAAAACAACCCCCCCCCCAAAAAAAAAACAAAAAAACAACCCCAACCCAACCAACCCTGTCATTCTCGTACTTCAAGTAGCCTCTGTGTCAAAGTGATGAGATATTGTTATCTAATCTAGAACATCACAATTCAGTCAAGTACAGACAGCGACAGCAATAAATGAAACGTTAGTTGTAGCCTTTGGCGTCCTACAGCAAAGAGGTTTAGGCAATAACTGTCTCTGAGCTTTCACTGTTGTCTTTTTTGTCTTTTTAAAAACGATTTATGGAAGCAGTACATTTTCATAAAACATTACTATAACCCAGCTTGTCAAACATCCATTGTGGTTTATGTAAATAATAACAATCAAGGCAAGTCTCTAGTTCAGCATTTAAGGCTCATGTATAAACACACAAACGGTACAGGTTTGATGTATACGACGGCGAGGCATAATTAGTATAATATCGTAAATCTCCTTGGTTAATTAGAAAGAGTACTTATCAGCCACATGATTGAGAGAATGGATCAAAATTGCCCTCCTACAGAATGATCTATAACTTTGGGTCAAAGAGCCATAAAGCGTTTGCTGTCACTGTGGACAACCAGTCGTTAAAAATACATTTTGCAAGAGGTGTGGAAATTTACTTTTATTTTTTTTTCTGCTACAGTCCGAAACTAAGTGGTGTAAGCATCAGAGAGAGAGAGAGAGAAAGAGAGAGAGAGAGAGAGAGAGAGAGAGAGAGAGAGAGAGAAAGAGAGAGAGAGAGAGAGGGGGGGAGAAAGAGTGAGAGAAAGAGAGACAGACAGACAGAAAGACAGAAAGACAGACCAGACCAACAAGAATATAGAGAAAGAGAGGATGAGAGAGTGAGAGAGAAAGAGAGAGAGGAAGAGACAGATAGATAAGGAGAGAGAGAGAGGGGGAGAGAGGGGGGGGGAGAGAATGTTATAATATTGTGTAAGCATTCAGTGAATTGATTTTTTTTTTTACATGTTTCATTAATTTCAACTTAACTTCAATAAGCATATTAATCATTTCGTGCTGCAGATGCTGATTCAGTTTATCACAACAAAATGTGACTGAAGACTAGATCTATATTATCTTATCCTTCCTGTTTCATCGTATCTAATTTTATATTTTCTGTGGTTTTCATACAAATTAGAAGTCTCTGCAAGTACTTACTGTGAAAGGCTTCACCATCACTTGTGTTTTGTGTGTATGGAATAATTGCTTGCTGTGACAAGAGACAAAATCATTTCACAGCTGTGACTGAAGCTATGATTTATTTTCTTTTTTTTTTCTTTTTCAAAAGTGTTTCCAGCGGGAATCTTGCAGTCACCAGTTTTCCATGTGGACTTCCCGAAGTGAGTTTGTTTTCCCTGATTCAGAATTGATATTGGAACAGTTTTACTTGGATGTTAGATGGAAGAGCATTGTTTGCATATTGTTACTGCCTGCCTAAACCAACGGCTACATTTGTACCCGGCTGTTAGAATTTACAAGCTGCAAGCTGTTGTTGTTTGGTTGGATTTTTAAGGGGTTTTTTTGGGTGCTTTTTTAAGGGAACAAAAATCGAAAAGTTAAATAATAAACAAAACAAAATTAAATTAACTTAGATGTAACAAAACAGAACGAAATCCAAAAGCTTCCCGCCTACAACCCCTCTCCCTGCCTTTTAAAAGTATACTGATGTTTTGGAGGTTTTAGTTTAGACTGAATTTTTTACGGCTGTGGTGCCACTTAGAAATGAGAAGTTGATTGCAAATTTGGACTTCAGACCAACAGCACAATCCCCCCTCCCCCTTCCACCTAAAAAAACATTGGATTCATTATCAGGTTTTCCTGTGGGGAAAAGGGCGTTGCTGCCGTGGTAATGTGATTCCCCCTATTCCTAGACACAAGCACACATGAAGCACGCGCTCGTATGACCGTATGTAGTTGCCAGTGCCGTGAAACGCTCTCCACAACAGCAACAAAATAAATAAACACATATTATTATGAATAAGCATTCACTTTACACCTAGATGTGATTCCGTAATGGTAATAGTTCAAACATTTATAATTTCCTCTTTTTCAGATACCTGAACTATGGATCTATAGGAGTTATCATAGGTCACGAAATCACTCACGGTTTTGATGATAAAGGTAAGAATTCTTTTACTGGGACGTAGTTAAGCATTTTTATGGCTTCTATGCGCGTTTCTTATTTGTCCCCAAAGGGATACGACGTCGCCTGTTTAAACTTAACGAGTGACTTCTTCTGGCCTTAATGTTGTATTGACCAGGCTCTTCACATTGGTTGCAAAAGAAGTATGTTGCTTGCCCTAAAGGGGGAGTAATTTCAATGTAATTTCAGTCCCTCTGAGTGAAATAGTTTCCTCTTCAGCTCTTCTTTTCAGCCAATATCCCCCCGCACTGCGATGAATACAATGTCCCTGCAGATAGACGACAAAAAACCCTCTTACCCCCCCTCCCCCTCCCCGTTCCCCTCTCTAAAATCTAACTAAATTAGCCTAAGTGTAACGCCGAAGAGTCTAACCTCTACACACCACGGCAGCCGGTTCAGACTATGCATCTTTGCAAATATTTCAAGTGAAATGGCTGAGTTTTTCTCAAAGGATAGTACTCGCTAAAGTTTGTCAACCTTTGAACAGTCATCGCCCTTTCTGCCACTTTTAACACGCTAAAGGGGCCGAACCGCCAACTTTTATGCATTTCCGAGCGGGCCATTAAATGATATTATCCTTCAGTACCCGGGTTATCCCCACCGCCAGCCAAAATTCCCAAATTAACTTCTAGTGGGCGATTGACTTCCACAAAATTGCACTGTTATGAGTGACTGAGCATGAGATAACTAGACAATTTGTCGACACTAATAACCACGCCAATCTACCATTCTAATGATAATACTATATGGGTTCTGACAGCCTGTCAAGAGCAAACGACTAGGATAATTCAACATAAATAAACCTTTATGTTTGAACTTCTTTTTCCTTACAGGCAGGCTGTATGACAAGAACGGAAACCTGAATCAATGGTGGAGTAACTCTGCTATCGAGAAGTTTAACACCCAGAAGCAATGTATCATTGACCAGTACGGAGCTTATGTCATGGACCAAGTGGAGCTCAATGTACGTTACTAACAACAGATCGGCCATATACATATGCATGTACTGTGTGTTTTTGTGTGTGTGCCTATTTTGTGGATGCATGAGCGAGTGTGTGTGCGTGTTTATGTGTGTGTGTATATATGTGTGTGTACCTTTGTCTGTGTGTGTGTGTGTGTGCGTGTGTGTGTGTGTGTGTGTGTGTGTGTGTGTGTGTGTGTGCGCGCGCGCGTGCGTGTATATATTTCCTAGATGCTTTTGTATCTGATAGGAAAGCTAAAACAATAATCCTCTCTGGTCAAATCAGAATTCTATAGTTACATCCTTTTCAAATATGGTTTGTTTCTTTGTCTGCTTCTTGCCTGAAGATATGAAAAGATGAATATTTGAGCAGAACCTGAGAGCTTCTTTTAGTAGTGCTAGGCTCATCTGACTTTAAAAATACACTAAATGATCTAATGAAAAATGTTCCACACCCCGATCGAAATAGTTGGCTTGATTTCGAAGGCGAGCTTCTGCAAATCTGCCTGTGGTACATTACAGCTTACACAGATACTTGAAGGAATAAAGTCCTCACACGAGATTCAAACTCATGTCTGCAACATACAACGGCGGAGAACCTAAGCAATACCTACAGATGTCAGCAAATACATTGTGCGGAAGTAATTTCCTTATATAATGATCATCGCATATAATTATCATTGTTATTAGACATGTCCAAATTATTTGATGATTTATGATTTTGTTATCGGCATATAATTTGAAACCCCGGCTTTTTAACAAAATTTTTGTTTAAATAAGATTTCATTATTTCATTTTTTATATTGTTTCGTTGCAGCTGAATGGAATACGTACGCAGGGAGAAAATATTGCTGACAATGGCGGTCTCAAAGAGTCTTTCAGGGTAAACATTTTCTCTTTGGTTTAAGGTTTCAATATATGCTATCTCTATGAAACTTCCTCCCGCCTCCCCCCCCCTCTCTTACCATTCTATTCACTCTAGCATACACCCCCCAACCACCCCTACTCCCGATAGTTCCGAGGTCAGGATGAAGCAGGAAAAAAACATTTCAAAAAGACAATACTTGTTATAATGGACAACAACAAGACTCGAACCTAAATTTCCGTGTCATAATTAGCTTCTATAGCTGTCATACAGCGGTAGACTCAAAATGCATGTAGTTTGAAAGAAGTTAAAGTTAAAGGTTAGACGTACTTATAAGTTTGGTTTCCATTAACTGACGGGGCTCCTGAAGGTGACTGGCCTGTGAACGTGGTTGCACTACTTGCTACCATAGAATTACAACGGTCAATCTGCTCAGTACCGAGTTTTGAGAAATTTGAAATCAAATTTTTTTAGTTTCACTTGGTAAGTTTTTTCTTATGCAATTCTTTGAATATATTGATAACGACTACGAATGATCTTACGATTTTGAAAGAGGTGATAGGACATTTGGTTTCTGACCTGATGGGCTTAGTAATTCAAGACAAACAAAAATGTCAGATATAAATTTGTGATTAAACAGTTACTACTGTCTAGCAATGTCATGTGATAATAACTATTAAAAAGAAAGCCAGTCACGTAAGTCCTTGGGAAAAACTCGTCACTATGACCTTAAAGCGATCACGTGGGTGAATGGCGGGTGCTCCGGTGTGATTTGCTCCTTCTGTCCTCTCAAACATCTGTCGTCCTTATCTTTCCTCCTTGTTTGTTACTGCCTTGTAACACCTCTAATATTTGGAACTTATATTGACCTAATGCAAGTGTCCTTAAACTTTTACTAAAACATTTAGCGATGTTTAAGTGCCTTAATAAATATTGTTTGATAGTTCGCTTTGCCTGTATTTCATGATCTGAGTGTCTTTTCGTTATTTTCAGAAACATATTTTGCTTTCCGAATAGTTTGATTGAAGTTCACTTTTCTTTTTTTTGATCGAAGCTACATTGTGGTTTGAGTTTCCTCTTTTTAAATACTGTATTAAAAAAATATATGTAAAATTCTTTACTCCGAAAACTATGTGCTCAAAGCGAAAACATCAAGTGATCAGTCTTCGAAAAGGAATCTAATTACAGGTTAACTGAAATTTGTGCTTATAAATTCAGGCGTACAAAAACTGGGTCAAAGCACAAGGAAAAGAAGAGCCTACCTTGCCAGGACTTCAGTACACGAACGATCAACTCTTTTTCATCAGTTTTGGGCAGGTTAGTACTATAATATTATTGTTTCAACGCATGATTATATATATATATATTATTGTATATATATTATTTATAGTCATTAACATTTTTAACTTCACACATTTTAAAAGTGTGTAGCTCAAAAATTAAACATCCATTTACTTTGAAATTGTATACATGTTACGTAAACTTAAAGTCGTTCGTGAATAATTTATTGTACTCACTAGGGTGCACTGGTCTATCATTTTGTTTGACGATGTCATTCACGGCGTTTTGATATTATGTCACATACTTTGAAAATGTGTTGGTAACTTTGAAAACAAAAACTGCACACGCAAAGTTGGATTCCTTCCAAGTCTTTTTACCACAAAAGAAAGTGGCTTCTCTTTTTCGATTCACCATGCTTCCGCTGAAAGAATAAGGACAAAATCACATCATTGAAATGCTTCAGGTGGGTACACCGCTATGATTAGTCGCGAAAAGGATCAACATGAACATACACACTGTGTATTCTACACGGAATCACATTGCAACGATAGGCTCCAAAGAGGACAGACCCAAGCAAGTAGAACGCAGAAAGACAAAACCGAGGGTGGACTCATTCATCCTACCGTAACGCTTGAGAAATCAATTTGAACCGGTAAACAAAGGCGCAGGATTAGTCGAAAAAAACTTTAAAATTACAGTCCGATCTTTGTCATGACTGTTCTCCTTCGTTTAAAACATAGGAACCTTTGTGCTAGGGGTCTAGTTTGTCGCGTAAAACTGCAGCCCCTTCGCATCCAGCACAGACTTCACTGGACACAGCGTCGCGTGTGATGCCCAAGGAGAAATCAACCTAGTTCTCGAGCCCAATGTACTTTTCTTTCTAAATCAATGGACAAGTGTTCAAGCACAATAAGGCACCTGCACATAAGGCTGCTGTGACAAATCCATTTATGAAAACTAGCAACATTCCTCTCCTGCACCCATGACCAGGTCATTCACGAAATTTCAATCCAATTGAGCCCTTGCGGGACATTTTAGATCGTGACATTTGTGCAACACCCGCCAGCCCCGTACCACTTGCTCAGTTAGAACAAGCCTTAATTGAAGAGTGGAATATTAGCCCACAATAGACAATACCTCGATTCTTCCCGTCAATTCGTCGACGATGTGAAGATGTGACAACGCCAGATATCATCACACGTTCATGAAAGCTGTCACTTTTCATTTTGACCCCTGACAACTATAAGTTCAAAACTGAAGATTAAAAACATTCTTAACTTTGCATCCCACGTGTTTCCCTTGCTGTAACATGAATTTATTATCTTATCAGAAAATTAAGTATTAATCAAGATATTGCCTTTAATATGAGGTAGGAGGTTAAAAATCATATATATATATATATATATATATATATATATATATATATATATATATATATATATATATATATATATATATATATATATATATGTGTGTGTATATGTATATGTGTGTGTGTGTGTGTGTGTGTGTATGTGTGTCACGACGCGGTGTAATCAGGCTCTCGTCAATGTTTGAGCGTGTAGAGCTATTGGTATCTTCTTTTAAAGCTTGTTCATTTGTCTTGCTTTGTATGAAAAAAATATCCTTTTATCTTGAATACTAGCCGTGCAGTCTCGGCATTGAGAAGAATAGGACTGACGTGGTGCTAGCGTGTCGTACAAGGCGACTAAATGGCGAACCAGGTAGTGACTCCTGAAACAGAGTCATCCTGCCTTCAGGTCGGGTTTGAGTCATGAGGCTAACAACTTCTCTCGTAAAAAGAACCTGTTACAGAAACACATACAAGCAAAAACCATTATCTCTTCTTTGGCTAATCGTGGATCTTCTCCAAATGGAGAGTTTATGATGCAAGGCGGTGAAAGCCGAAAGGAAGCTGCCGGCAGAAGTCTCCACCATCATCCAAGTCCACGTCTCTTCGGATCGGCTCGTGGAACGTTAGGACCCTTTATGAGGCTGGAAAAACTGCACAAGTTCTCCAAGAAATGCACCGATACCAACTACACATACTGGGAATCAGCGAGACCCACTTGAACCAGTCTGGACAGAGGCGAATGAAAGAGGGGGAGCTTTTTATTTATTCAGGAAATAGGACTAGGAAAGTGGCGATGGATGGGACACACCTTAAGAAAGCCCAGCGGAAACATCACAAGACAGTCACTGCAGTGGAACCCACAAGGAGCACGAGGCAGGGGTAGGCCACGGGAAACATGGAGGAGATGCGTGGAAAGGGACATGAGAGAAATGAAGCTCACTTGGAACGAGCTTGGAAGGATGGCTCAGGACAGAGATAAATGGAAGGAGCTTGTATGTGGCCTATACCCTGCTAGGGGTGAAAGGCATTGATGATGATGATGATATCTTGAATACAAGTCGAGATATTTGCGAATGAAAGAAATGTGGGTCACCTGATAAAAATACTGAGGAAATAGCCACCAAAGATAAGTCATTTCCTTAGCTTGAGAATCCGTGTAGACCGAGTATTTACACTTTTTGCGCTTTTTATCAACGTTTGTCAGTAAAAACTTACACAGAAAGGTGTTCTTTAATGGGCCTGAAATGTGTTGATCCAAAAAATAAAATTCGATAAAAAAAATTCACAATCCTGCAGGAAAATGCGTTGTTCTCACTTTGATTTCTTTGACGAGCGCCTGATTTCACCACGCTGCCTCACATATATATATATATATATATATATATATATATATATATATATATATATATATATATATTCTCAGATGACATACCAGCACTGCTCATATGAGAATCGAAAACTATCATTATTATACACTAACACAATGTCACATTAAATGTTTCAAGATGACACACAAACACTGTCATAAAAAACACAGCACTATTCAAGGTTACATCCTGACATGGCCAGTGTTACTCACAGACATGACCATTATGATAAACTTGCTTTCCTCAGTTGACGCACGTACACTGTCAGTATGACGTACAGACTCCATTCTGTTGAAATTCTAACAATATCCATACTTAGGATTAGATGTGAATAATGTGAAGCCTTTTCTGACTTGCTCCTACAGACCTGGTGTAACATGTACAGAAACGACGCTCTTATCAGTTCCATTCGCAGTGGCGTGCACAGCCCGGGCCAGTACAGGTAAGAGCAATGTAAAGTATAATATTAGTGCTGCCCTTTCTTTTTCATGAGACTAGTGCTTTTATATCTGCAAATTTTGAGTAATGAAAAATTATTCTTGAAAAGTGCATTTTATGCAAAGGCAATATTCATTATACGACCAAGTAAGGTTTGGGGGAATTGGAAGCTAACGAAAATAGAAATGGATAAAAAAGAGGAACATGAAAGTGTTAACTGTTTTATTTGTGGTTCAATTATATTTATTTAAGAATTAGGTCAACTTGGGGCGAACCGTCAATGCATTTCAAATGAGCATTGTTATTGTTAATCAGGCAACGCAAGATGATCCCCCGTATTTTATTCTTACTTTTATCGTCGAAATTTCGATCAACATTTTCCAGCACGTTTGTTCTCATACAAACTCATTTCATCTGCAGAGTAATCGGATCTCTTCAGAATTCTGAGGATTTTGCCAGAGTGTTCAACTGTCCTTCAACATCGTACATGAACGCGGCCAACAAATGTCAAGTCTGGTGAACAGGCCAATGAACTGGTCATTATTCCAGATCCGTTGATTATCGATGTGCTGTTCTTGTTTTTGTGGTTCGTGCTTATTTTATGATGAAAGTGGAGAAAGAAAACGTTTCAAAAACAATTCGACATTCCTTGCAGTTGTAGATAAATACACACTTCAAAACTGAACTTGAGACAGAGATGCTCTGCAGCATGTCCGAACAGGCCTTTGACACCTAGGGTGACGTCAGTACTGAAACTTTGACTACGACATGATTGATGGTTAATAATGAAAGAATACTGTTGTACATTATTCTTTATAAATCTATCAAAAGCGTAGGCTGTTTTAATGGAATACTGAAAGCATAATAAGGAAGACAATATTCCGAAAACGTTTCTGATGCCCTTTTTCCCTTTGCCCTTAGTTTTGTGCATAACTGTGTCCTCCTTCCACGCCCCTCCCCTCCCTTTCTCTGTCTGTCTGTCTGTCTGTTTGTCTGTCTGTCTGACTGTAATATACACCTGTCTCATTTTCCTATTCCCACCCTACCTCGGTCTTTTGAGAGGGTCTTGTAAGTTTGAGGACTTGGAAAAAGGTCACACCCAAGCAAGTAATATAGCCCCTTTTTATAAAGACCTTTGCCCCGTCAAGCACATCTAGTACTCTACTCAACATACATATTTGTGTGTTTACCAATGCACGTGTATTTTATTGACTGTGGTTGGTGAACCATGCCTTTTTCCGTCCTTCGTCCTCACTCTCCACCAAAGGCCCAACTGCCCCCACCCCTCCCTTTATGACTTGACCGTTCTGTGTGTAGCCTGGAGACACTATAATTCATGTTATTTACTTCGTCTTTTTTCCTTTTTCTTTTCTTTTGTACTAAGAAATTCATATACATAGACAGGAGTACTATATTATTGTTTATAACATGTGAGGCACTGATAGGCATGACAACTCTCGTATAAAGAAAAATCATTTGGAGATGCTGAAAAAATAGTAAGGTGCCATTATAATTATTGTACATACGCTTGATCAATAAAGACGTTATATACATCTATATTATTAGCTGTGTTTGAGTTGATCTAATTATGTTACGCTGTGAGAGTTTGCATGACTATGTTCTCAAATACGAGAAGTGGTTTTTTTTAAATTAACAGATATCACAACAACAAGAAACCTTATTATACTTTACTCCACCAAACCAACACAAAACTACACTTCAAGGCCACCTTCAAAAACACCGAGACCTTTTTTACTTTTTAATTTAAAGTTACACTCCCTAAAATACTCCCAAACAAAAAAATCCCAAGACAAACGAACAAACAAACAAACAGCAGTTTTGCTGTCGTACACAGAGGACCCGAGTTTGATTTTGTCGAGTATCTCGGTCTTTCTCCTTGAATGTTATAATCCTCTTAGCGTGTTTGACCCTGATTGGCATCTTCGAAGATCACTTCCTGCATAATCTAAGTTGTGTTGATGGTAGTGCAAAATACTTACTTAAGAAAAAGACTGGCGCAAAAAGGAGCTGGAACATGACTCAGTTAAGACAGAGACAAGATGCCACCATTAGTCTGTACACCAGAAATTCAATTTATTACACTCGTATAAGAAGAAGGGCTTAAGTTGACTTGTGCCTAAAATATTGTACTGCAGTAAGTGAAGAAGTTTTTTAAAATCAGTAATAGAGTTGCACTCCCTGCTGGAGGTTTTAGTAGGCTACCCCTTGTTCGTTCAGGTCTCCAACACCAGTGGTTGTCTGGACGCCTTTATAGGCTTCTAACATTTTGTTGTACAAAAAACTACAAGCCAAATCAAGGCAACATATAGACATTGGTATTAACATTGACGATTAAGTAGGTTGCGGCTCTAGAAGAGCCTGTTCGATTATCTTGTAAATTGACTGACTATTCGCTACGGCAAAGACATAGGCCTGCAGACGTGTTTTAGTCTTTCGGTTGCACGAGACGCCATAAACTCTACCACTCAAAAACACCAATTTATTACCTTAAAAATAAAATACAAGTAAGGCGTGCTCACTGTTATAATACCAATCCTAACAGTGTTTTATATAATCTGTTTGAAATAGCTGAATAATAATTTTTAAGAGTTTAAAGACAACATGATATCAAATATTATTTTAAAATGTGACAGCGAAGCAAACATGCCTCAGAGTATTGGGTTTTTATCCCAGTGATCCCCCCCCCCCCCAAAAAAAAAAAAAAACATCAACAAAAAACCCCCAAAGAAACAAACAAAAAGTTAGAGCAGGAAAGAGGATGATATATACATTATAACAATCATTATAATGTATTGCTGTGTTCGTTGTTCATGCTGCTGGTTTTAAACAGGCCTTTTGGAGATTTCACGGGGGAAGACGAAGAGCAGAGGGTTATAACGTGTCTACAATCTACAGCAATAAAATGAGTCTGGAAGTTGACGACCCTTTTAGGAAATCTACCACCGCTGATCAATTTTACAGAATAAGGAACTAAAGCTGGAAAAAGTAGATCACTCCACAGTATACGTATCCCCCTTTCATCTTTCTAGCTGAATCCTCTCGCTTTAACAAGAGCGCAAATTGTACGACTGCAGCTGAAACAATAATGAAAACGTTGCTAGAACAATACTGATATGGCATTATTTTTATGCAAAATGTCAAATAATTGTCGATTGAGTTTAATCCTTTAATTGCACTATTGTCTGTAAAGCTAATTAGGATAGTATCCTTTGAAGATTGTTTTTGTGGTGGAAATTTTAAGCTATGGTATTTGAGAATAGCGGCATCCTGTTGCTTGGTGAAGTAATAATGTTGATAAAGCAGCTAGGACCTGCTTATTACACATAGAACATGGCTTACCGGTAGTCTATTTGGAAAGGTCTATGACAAACATACACAATATCAAATCAGAGAGAGAGAGAGAGAGAGAGAGAGAGAGAGAGAGAGAGAGAGAGAGAGAGAGAAGAGAGAGAGAAAGGAGAGGGGGGAGGGGGTTGGGGATAGAGATAGATAGATAGATAGATAGATAGATAGATAGATAGATAGATAGATAGATAGATAGATAGATAGATAGATAGATAGATAGATAGATAGATAGATAGATAGATAGATAGATAGATAGATAGATGGATAGATAGATGGATAGATAGACAGATATGCATAAATATATATACAGAGAGAGATAGAGAGAGAGAAAGAGAGAGAGAAAGAGAGAGAGAGAGAGAGAGAGAGAGAGAGAGAGAGAGAGAGAGAGAGAGAGAGAGAGAGAGAGAGAAAGGGGGGGGGGGGTTCCTATAGATCTTCAAACAAGGCAAGTCATGTACGCATTACAATTCATTCGGCTGAAGGAAACCACAATGACACTGTTCCTTCTGCTGGGGGCTAGGAAATTATTTTTCAAGCTCAAAAATGGTATCAACAGTCGGGACTAACCCAATGAAACTGCCGTATACTAATTTGTCGAGTTGAGAGAGACATCCATCCACGCTTGTCTAGACTAAATAGGGTGTCATGTCTACTCATGGACATGGACAAAGCATTTTCCACCGGACGGTAATCTTTTTTTAAATAGTTTAGCACAAACATGTAATGTGTAACCCTTTTACGAGTACACAAAAATCATGTAATCTTCAGTTATGTATCTGGGAGGAACGAGTTTTCTAACATGAAAAAAGGCCATGACATAAGGACAATTATGTTATGTATAATACTTTTTTCAAACCCAAGACCGCAAAGTTTCTTTCAGTGTTGGTAATCCCTCCTCTTATATACACTTTTAATAAAAATGACTTCTGATAATTTATATTTGTACGCATGCTGCAACTTTCAAAGAATACTCAGCAACTCTAGTAACCGTACTTTAATAATGCTTCCTCGCCCTCCTCACGAACCAATGACTGCCTATTTTAATCTTAGTAGTGCTAGATGAATGATAAAAAAAAAGGATTTAAGGTTACTCAAGCAAAAACAGAGGAAAAGAAAGAATTTTTTTTTTTTGGTCATAGGATGTATCTGACCGACTTAAAAGAAATCTGCTGAGATGTTGGTAAGTGGGCTATTACTCTCATAAATTTATTCTGAAGGTCAGAAATGATTAAGCTGCTACTGTCTCCTGCTCAAATGCCTTTACAGACTATAAAAAAACACGTGTGATACGTTATCAGCAATTAATAGTTACGGTGATAGTACATCTTATTTTGTGTATACGGATTTCGAAGAGATATACATTGCTGAGAGGAAATATCTTTTTGTCAAATTAAGATAATATTTTATCTACTAAGAAATTATTTTTTTATGTACTCTATGTGTGACAGTAATATTGATCGAAGTAAGCTGCTTTATCTCAATGTTACTGAAAAAATAAATGTACGAAATTGTATAGATTTAACGCCCTTCCAACACTCTACTCAAAGGTTAATTAAGAGGAGGGGCGGCCCCATCTTTAATAATATAGGACCAAGCTAAAAGAAAACATTAGTGTAAAGTCCCTTTCCCAATGAGACAACATCAGATCGAACAGAAACTCGAACTCATGAACCTTTAGACTCATGATTACGGGTCCGATAGCCTAAAAACTAGACTACCGACGTCACCCAACGATGCAGTGAAAGCACGTTATCTGTACATACTGTATTTGAATGTACAGGGGCTTACGTTTCTTTTCTTTGTTATTGTGATTTAAGTGGAACGGACCTTGGGCAACAGTACTCTATGTGCTCTTTGAAAACACAAAAACTAAGATAACAGGTGACGACAGCTTAAACCAGATAAAAGTGTTCATATGGTGATAATACAACGGTGTTCTACCACTGCAGCCAACGATCAGATGGTACTGAGAAGTCTATGTCTTCAAACTAATTGAGCGGTCTTCGTCATGTCGGGATTTTCCTCTCATAGTCCAAAAGATTCTCCTCACATAAAGTACAAAGAGGTGATCAGTCAGAAAGATTTGAATATTCATCGTCCCACAAAAACTTCTCGATGTGAACGGCTCTCTCGTAAAACAGAAAGATGTACCACTGTGCTGCTAGTCCTTTGTGCCTTAGCCGCTGTCAGTATTCCTGTGTACAAAGTTCTATATCCGTACCTTTCTAGTCTCATAGAAGATGGAAACAAACATCCAAGATCTCCACAGTGCAGCGTTGAGGAGAACAATCGTTTTGACTGTTGGCCAGAGAAAGATGGAGCCACTGAGGAAAAATGTCGTCAGCGTGGCTGCTGTTGGCAGCCGTCCTCCACGCCAGAGACAGCGCCCCCCTGTTTCTTCTCCTCCAATTATAGTGGTTACAACGTTGTACAGATTAAGCAGTCGGCCTCGGGAATTGATGCGACACTGCAAAGAAACACCACTACCTTTTTCTCTAAAGACTCCATGACGTTGAAGCTGCACGTGGAGTACCAGACAGCAGAGAGGCTTCGAATTCGTGTGAGTAATAAACACAGGCCTATTTCTATGGGCAGGTGGTTGTACAGCAAAACTGATTGGTTTCAGTTTCTCTCTGTCCATCTACTGGTTTTGATTACGTTCAGTAGCCCCTTTAGTTATATTTTTTATGATTAGATGGCTGGACTTCTGGCGTATATTCCATCTGTGAAAGATCCAGGTAAATTGGGTAGCGAGCCATGAGAACCGCTCGGACAGCCCAAGGTTTCTATGTTTTGGATCTGAACCAAGTTTACCAACACTTCAGTTCAGAATATTATACAACTGTCTTAGCCAATGCGAGCCCTGTGGTCTACGATGAAATTCCTCTTTTGTTTCTACAAGCATTTCTTTGTTTTCATGGTGACATGTGCTCTTTGAGCTTTTTTCCCTTTCTTTTATAAACTTTTTTTGTTCGGTTGGATAGAGTTTACAATACTCACTATAGCACGCTGGTAAGTGTTTAGACTAGCTCAGATATTATTTGGACTATCTCTGTTTTCTTCAACTCCCCTGAGGCCAAAAATTAAACTTTACAGAAAATAAAACCATTTCGACGTTTTAAATGTTGTTTATTTTAATCTGTGTTAGGGTGCCATGAATGGCATGCTGTATATTATGTTTTCCTTAGGGACATTGTCCAATCGCCCTTTCCAATTTAATTTGCTTCCTGCTTGGGAAAAAGACAACCGTTTGTTTATTATGCAACTCCCAATGATTAAATGGGAGAAAATACCATATCACGATAGTAACAAATCTTTGGGTAGGTGGTGGAAATTGTATGATATTCTGTTTATTGTTAAAAACGTTTGAAATGTATTTGTTTCTTATTAGGTGGGGTGGGGGGTGTATAATAAATAAACCCGCGAAGTGCGACCTTTTCTTGGTGAAATGTTAGTCATGAACATCTACCCACACGCGGTGTATCGTTTTTTAAAGAAACTGTTAATAGTAGGTTATCCAATCAACAGAAGCTGAAACTAGCCAGACGATGGGATGCCATGCGTACATCACTTGCTCTCTGATGTAGGAGCGCTCAATAGTTTGGGGTTTTTTGCACTTTCACCACCGAATTATATCGACAGAGCTGTAAAACAAATACTCGGTCATCAAACACAATGTCCATGCTGTGGCTCTAATGTTCTGTAACAGTTCTACGATCCGGTAGTACAACGCTATGAAGTCCCCCTGGATGTTCCGAGCGGATCTACCCCAGGAACCAAGCTGTACGACGTCAAAGTTTTTCCACAACCCTTCAACATTCTTGTGACTCGCACTTCCACGGGAACTCCAGTGTGAGTGATATACTTTTTAGAAAGCCAACATAACTATACACTAACTTACGCTCTTGCGTGGGTACAAATAGCTGCCCGTGAAAACGTTCCTATGTTCCTATGATAGTGCTTGCACATTCTAGAATGGCTTGATTTTTAATTTGGCACACGTCTTAATTTGCAGAGAAAATTTGTGAAAGTTTACCTCCACCACGTTGTTTATTCTAAAGTTACTGTAATTTTCCTCAAAGGTTCTGGGGTCTTGCCATAAGTTGAAAACACCTTCGATTGGTGTATGTAAGAAGCAAGAATTAGGCTTCTAATAGATAAAACATATTGTGATCTTCAAAATATTGTATTGAATAGAACACAGAAATATTATGGTTTTGGTGCAATTAACCCAAAGACAGCAGTTCTGAGTATGTGAAAATACAATGTGGGGTGTCTCATTGCTTTCCCCAGCTTTGATACAAGATCAACAGCTCCACTGATCTTCAGCGATCAGTTCTTGCAGATCGGGACAAAATTTTCCTCCAAATATGTTTATGGATTTGGAGAACATCGAAGTAATTTTCTTCAGGACCTGTCGACTTGGAGACGACTTGCTTTCTGGAACCATGATAGTTCCCCTCGTGTACGTAGCTTGCTATTGAGATTAGACTGTCTGATGCCTCTGCTTAAAGCAGGCCCAGTAATATTGCACAAGGTGTAACAAACTCACATAGAAAGTCTGAGAAGCAGGTTTGGCTATGTTAATCGAAAGCTGGGAAGATGTATTATACAATACGTATAATAGGATAAATATTGGCCAATTATTTTTTTCAACCCATTCTTTTAAAATGCGGGAAGTTAAAAATATTTGAGTCCATAATTTTCTTTTCTTTCGGAATTGTGCAAACGAAGATGAAGAGCAATTACTTTCAGTTTGCGTTACACTTTTCGAATAGCTTTCCAAAGTGGTGAGGTTCCTCCAAGTACATTCACTACTTAGAACCAAATTTGCATTGGAATTCAATATTAATATAATATGGTTTAAGTGGCAAACGTTGGGACAAGATTTTACTTTTTGAGGCACCTTGCTTTATCTGCTCAAACGTTTGATTGGCCCTCCCAGATTGACACAAATGGCTATGGGACTCATCCTTTTTATTTGAACTTGGAACCCAGCTCTGGGCAGGGAGTGGCTGATGCCCATGGAGTCTTTCTGCTTAACAGCAACGCAGGAGGTAAGTGGTTGGGTATCTTAATTCATTTATCCTTTAATTGAGAGTGATCAGTTAGATTTGTCAAGCCTCTTAGTCGTTCTACTGTTCTTTGTTTTCAGGTTTAAGTTATATTCCCTACTGGGCACAAACAACGTCGTCAAATTAATGGTATATTTATTATAATATAATATGCTAATTGGGAGACCTAACACTAAAGATAGTGGATATATACCTCAATATATAGCTATGTGCAGAAATCAACTCCTCTGTCACATTTGTATTGACACAATGTTTCAAGTAATACGGTGGTTTTTATGGTATACCGATAATGTGCTTCGCTGTCGCAAGCAGAAGACGTGGGTTCTATTCCTGTTTGAAGAGGTTCCTAATCGAGAAACATCCGTTTGTCGGCTGGGACATTTCATTTCTGTCAACCTGTGTTGGTCCTGGATAGCAAGGTCTTAAATTATTTAAGTCGTGTTGTTGCGTATGCAAAAATAGCTTCAATAAACACTAATAGAAGGACTGTATACAGTATCTATATCAATGGTGTTATGCATGATATACTGCTCAATTAGCATCAGGGTCAGCAGGCACAAAAAACTTTTGCATATTATATAGCATAAAAAATACGGTGGGCTAGTTTGTTTGTTTGTTTGTTTGTTTGTTTGTTTGTTTGTTTGTTTGTTCTTTGTAGGTTTTTATTTTATTTTTTATTTATTTTTTTTATTTATTTTTCTATATTTTTATATTTTTATTTATTTTTTTTATTTTTTTTGGGGGGGGGTTCTACTCTCCTCCTTTTATCACGTAAGGTTTTTCATAACACAGAACGCAGAACACGCGTCTGCGTGTGTTGATGTTACTTTTTGTCGGCATCTTATCATGTCTATTTATCTGTACTGATTTGTTTTAGTTTTGTTTTAGTTTTTTTTCATAATGGTCTTATTGTCTATTTTATTTTAAATATGTGCAGGGTATGGTCAAATAATACTGATTCCTATCGTTTCGTTTTTCATTGGTGCATTTAGTGGTAAGCAGAATGAGTGACGCTAAAGTATTTGATGAAACCTTTCTGGGTGAACAATTTGAATCTTTTATTTTTTTTTTTTAAAAGATCAATCTACTCACAAGATGAAGAAGCCAAAAGACAAAAAATGTAGACAAACTTTGCTGTTTTGGTCTATGTTCTTTGTCATTTTACCTGGTTAAAGTTTACGGTGGAGGAATGTTGCATCCCCAACAACACGATTTAAATCATTTAGGAGACTTTAACTCTGCCTGTAAGGGACAACCCGGGCAGAGAGAGATACAATGTTATACAGTAAGACCAAGATACCCAACAACAATCCTCCTCGTGCCGGAATGGAACGCAAGTCTTCTGCCTGAGACGGCGAACCAGCAGAAGCTACACGAAAGATGGTTTGTGGGCTTGGGAAAGGTACAGGGTGATAAAAAAACAACAACTGTACAACTTTTTTTCTTATTATCTCGAACAAAATTTGTACTAGAATTTTGTAATTTGGTACAGGCATAATTCAGTCAAAAGGAATTTGTTTGACATAAAATTCACAAAGAAGAAACTTATTTTCGAAAACAGAATTGGTTTTTATAAAAACCACCTATAAATGCAAAAAGCACCAATTCAAAAGATCTTGTATTGAAAGTCATGAAATGATTTTTTCTTTTATTTTCCTTTCATTTTATTTGAAAAAAAAATATAATCTTTTCATCCCTGTAACCTTTAAACAATATAACTTTTCTCCTACAGAGTTAAAAACTGTTTTTTTTTATTCTGGAATTCCGAGAACAATGGTCTATTTCCTCATTTGGACTCGACACAATCTAATAGGGGGTGCCACTACAAATGGGTTCGGCCGATCGGGCCGATCGCTCGACTCCATCACCTAAAAAACAAACGTGTTTGTTTTCAGTTTCAGGCGATCAAGTCGGGCGATCGGCCTGATCCAGCCGTAGTGGGCACCCCGTATAACGCGTCGTTCGTAATGTTCAGTGGTGGTCAAATACAAGGATCCACTCAACCATGAGTACTCAAAGCCACACACACTGTACATCTTGCTGTATGGAGATGTTTCTAAAGACAACAGGGGAGGGGGGGGGGGTTGAGGTTACCGAAATAGACAGCATTTGTGGAGTTGATATTATCAGAAAGGTGCTGGGCTTTGCCAAGGAACCAAATGTCATAGAGGAAATGTTCACGCTTTTCAAGACGATCGAGGTATCATGAACATATTGCTATCCTCTGATATCTTCCCAAATGAGAAAATGGTGCAGTCGTAGATAAAGACCTGCCTTGAGAAGGCAGACCGTTGAGATGTAGGAAAGTCATGGCTGCAAACATCGTCGACGGAAAGACGTCTTATGGGGCTCATCTTCCGAAATCTTCACCCTAGTGACGTTTAAATGGGTTCGAACGGTGTATGTATGACCTGAAGTGGTTGTTTTAACTGGGAATATTTTTGTTCTGATTCCCTACAGGTCCTAACTGGTTGACCATTTCCACCCTTGACATCAAAGAGGGCCTTAAGGGCACTTTAACATTATTTCCGTACCTTGTGCGAAACTTACGAAATAAGCTGGTGGTGAGGAAATGTTAAATACAAAAAGCTCTCTGCTCTTTACTAATCTTAACCATAATCTCAGCAGGCAAAAATTTGATAAAAACTATCTGCAAACTTCTGTTGGCCAGTTACACTACTGTAGTTAGCAATATGGCGCAATCGTTGGGATTTCTAGTGGTAGACCTAATGCGAACTAGGGCGTCATGCTACAAAAATGGGGACATAGCGAAATGAGCTGTTTTTTTACGCGCTATGTAGAGCAAAACTGTTCTGTGGATTTATCTAACATGAATATCAGACAAATTCCTTTTGACTTTCAAATATTGTGTATAAATTTGAATCGCAAGACTTCAGTGTGGAGGAAAATATTACTTTTGTAAGTTGTACAGGGTTTGGGGGGGGGGGGGGGTTGGAGGGGGGGGTCACCCATTTCGCCTAAGAAGTTATTGTGAAGATTTGTGACTGACCAACATGATTTACTTCAGCACTTAGAGTGTTAATGAATCCTTTATTTTGTGTTCTTTGCCCTGCCCAGCTGAGAATAATTTAGTGTTGGCATTCTGATCTCTATGACAATCCAGTTTTTTTTTTAGATTATGGTGTTATCTTGTCCTCTTGGAGATTTTGAAAATCGTTTTTATGGGCTTTGAAATGACAGTGATTCAGATATATCATAAATATATGCTGATAGTGACTTGTAGAATCGGAATGGGTATCTTTAAAAAAGAACAGAAAAAAACCTTGAAAGAAATCGATGGCTTGCTAAAAAATTGAATGGGGGATAAAGAATAGTGTGATGTCAAAGCAAAAAAAAAATTTAATTACAAAGAAAAAGCGTCCCCGGAAGTGGGAGTGACTGATCTAACATTTGAGAAAAATTGCCATAGGGACATAATTAAAGAGAAGTTTGAGCTTTTTTCCCTTTGTATTCCGTTATCAGAAGTAGCACTACAACCATTTGGCGGGCATGACGGGCCTGGGGCGGTCACTTACCGCATGATGGGCGGAGTCTTGGACTTCTATCTGGTGTTGGGCCCGGATCCAGAGTCGGTGGTCTCTCAATACTCAGATGTCATTGGTAGACCTTACTTCCCTCCTTTCTGGTCGCTAGGCTTCCATCTGTGTCGCTTTGGTTACCACAGTGCTGAGGCTTTGGGACAAGTGATCAAGAGAAACCGCGATGCTCATATGCCTTATGTACGTCTCTGCGCATGTTTCGTTTGTTTGTTGTTGTTGTTGTTGTTGTTGTTTTTTGGGGAGGTTGTCTTTGTTTTGGGTGGAGGGGCGCATTTTGTTTGCTTTCTTTCCCTTTGAAAATGTGTTTTTGTGCGAGGGCACCGTTAACTTGTCTTTCTTTTTTTAGTTCCTCGTGTTCTTTATGTCTGTCTGTCGTACTTTATGTTCCTATACTAAAAGGGTATTTTTGGAACATCCATCTGTAATCCTTCTTTTGAGTATCAGAATATCTTTTTAGTGTAGGCTTACACTTAAATGACAGGAAGTTACCCTGTCAGTTACACTTTCTGTGTCTTATTTCTCCTCAGTATATATCTATTTTTAAGCTCATGTGCAATATTGTAATCAAACGAGGTTCTTTAATTTGTGTTACAATTTGACTAATTTTGAAACTGTTTCTTGGACAAGGGCATTAATCTTGACTCCAATAAATTATTGCCAGGATGTCCAATGGACTGATGTCGACTACATGATTGACAGGCGAGACTGGACCCTTGACCCCGTGCGCTACAGTACACTTCCAGCCCTTGTCAAAGACCTGCATGACAATAACCAGAGATATATTATCATGGCGGTGAGACCTTACAGTTTTTCCTGGGTTTTCCAAGACTGTTTGACTTTCTGTGTGAAAGAAGAACACTTGTAGATGCTTCTAAATAAGGGGTATGTGTCATTAGTAAATGCTATCGTATTTCAGTTTTGTATAAGAATTCTAGAATTCGCCTGTGTTTTTTCTTTACTGTATTTGTTTGGAGAGTTGTGTAAGACTTTCTTCGTTTGCCTAACTCTATTGCCTACTGCCGTCAGTTCACATGATTATCATTTAACCATCGTTTGACAACACAAATCATTCTTTTTTAAACATTTTTGTTGTCGTCAGTTTGGTGGCAACCTGGTGTTAAGGAAACTTAGAACAAAAACACACACGCTTATCTACTCATTTTCCCCCTCAGTGTGCTTGAGACAGCTTTGCATTTCTCTTATTTCTTTTAGGATCCTGCCATATCTAGTACACAACCGGCCGGTACATACCCTCCATTTGATGATGGAATGAAGCTGGATGTGTTTGTGAAAAACAGCACTGGGGATATTCTTATTGGAAAGGTATGTGTTTCTGGGGGGGGGCTATTTTGTTGTTGAAGTTTTAGAGACAATCAATTCGAGTCTAAATTATTGTTTCAAAAATAAAGGAAAGCATTTCCCCTCTGGAATTGTAAAAAGTATACGGTGATCAGTCTGCACCTTGTAAATGATAATAATATATCGAATCAGTGTCGTAACGATCTAGCCTCGAGTGCTGTGGCTCTTTTTTTTCTGTATCACATGATTAATC